ACACGTGACTAGCACACAGATTAATAAAAGAGTTGATCTGATATATGGAGCGCTATTTCAACATAATACACATACTTTTGGTGCGCGATTTCAACCACTTTTGTGAGGCGCGATGATGCGCGCACCATGGCACAATTTCGGGTGCGCGGTGGAGCGCGAGCGCGATCGCACCCCTTAATAATGAAAGCCTGATTATGTATGTATATACTCGAACATGACGGATCACCGTGCTTGTGTTTCGGCTCCTTGACTGAGGTGTTCAGATTTGGTAGACCCGGGGTCGACTGTCACATGAGACATGATTCGGATGCCTCCGTCTCTCAGCTGTTATTTCTCTCGAACGAGGTGAGTACGTGCACGCCTCAAGAGTGAGTACGTGCGCGCCTCAAGAGTGAGTACGTGCACGCCTCAAGAGTGAGTACGTGCATGCCTCAAGAGTGAGTACGTGCACGCCTCAAGAGTGAGCGCATGAGGCACACATTAGACCAGTGCTTCTTAAACTATTCGGTCCAATATCTTATTTATTATGTCTTATTTCTAATTTCTCAGCCTAATGTCCAATTTATTATGTCTTATTTCTAATTTCAGATTTCAGATTTCTCATGTTTAATGTGTAGCAACTAACACAGTGCTTTTTAAACTGGATCAATGGTTCACCCAAGGGCGAATGAGATTATTTTGGGGTGAATGAAAATCATCAAAAACAAGAAAATTTAGTCATGGGTCAATGATATTTTGTGATAGAGACCACCATCAGTGTATCACCATCGAGTCTTTATCACAAAATATCATTGACCCGCGACTAAATTTTCTTGTTTTTGTTCCAGTTTCATTCACCCCAAAATAATCTCATTCGCCCTTGGGTGAACCAATCACCAGTTTAAAAAGCACTGTGTTCGTTGCTACACATTAAACATGAGAAATCTGAAATCTGACATTAGATATAAGTTATTAGAAATAGAACATAATAAATGTGATATTAGACGTTAGAAATTAGCCAGAGAAATTAGAAATAAGACATAATAAACTAGACATTAGTCAGAGAAATTAGAAATAAACTTAGACATTAGGCATCGAATAATAGACATAAAGTATAATACATTAAAGACTTTAGACTAAAGACATTAGTCATTACATCAAAGCTCTCAGACACAAGACATAATTTAATACATTTGTGTTATCCATTGCTCATGTCATGTTTGGAGTAATACACACGAGCATGTACGTAATGGATTGGCACACGATGTACAAGTTCTCACGCTTCTCACCAGGGTGCGCTCATTACCGTGTGCAGCGACGACCGGCTCCACCTATGGGACACGCGAGGAAAGAAACCTGACCTCGTCCACACACTCAAGTTCAACAGAGAGCGGTGAGTCGGCATGCAGTATCATGCACTATCATGTAGTATCATGCAGTATCATGCAGTATCATGCAGTATCATGCAGTATCATGCAGTATCATGCAGTATCGTGCAGTATCATGCAGTATCGTGCAGTATCATGCAGTATCATGCAGTATCATGCAGTATCATGCAGTATCATGCACTATCGTGCAGTATCATGTAGTATCATGCAGTATCATGCAGTATCATGCAGTATCATGCAGTATCGTGCAGTATCGTGCAGTATCGTGCAGTATCATGTAGTATCGTGCAGTATCACGCACTATCGT